AGAAGAGAGAGGCAGCGCCTGCGCCTGCGTACTTTGCTCTGCCTGCCGCTGTGGGATCGCCAAGGGGCGGGCGGCGGGTGGAGATGGAGGCGGAGCTGGAAAGAGAGCCAATCAGGTGCCAGGACGAAGCGCTTAGGTGACAATCCGTGACCCAGACGGGGCGGAGTCCAGGAATGGGGGCGGGGAGAGGAGGGCATATGCAAAATAAGTGACGTGCCTGACGATTCCGGTTTCCCGATTGGCGGAGGGTTTAGTCTTGAGGGCGGGCATTTTGAGGGCTGGTTGATGACTTGGCTAAAGAGATCCAGCAGGAGGGGCAGTGGGTTCCTTTTGGGCGCATGCGCAGGATGCACGTGTGTTTCCTGGCCCGGAACAAACCGTGGCCCCATAGTAGTCGTATGAACTTTCGCGAAACGGAGAGGCACTGCGTTAAGCCAACTGTGTTAAAGATTGTTCCTCTCCTCTGATCGTTTCTGTACTTCCACCCTCTCTGGTGTGGCAACCATTACTTTTTTTCTTTACAGGTTGATTGTGAAAGTGAGAGGAGCAGTGATCCTGAAGTTTGGGTCCCATTTATTAAAAGATCTTTCATAGGCCGGTTGGTAGGTAGGGATTTTGTCTGAACTCTACCCTCTGGATTATGTTTACCAAGCTCAAGTTCAATAAATTCTATCTTCAAGTCCCTAATCTGTAAAGTGGGTATACTAGCTCTTACAAGATACGGAGGAGGAAGGGAAGAGAATCAGCATTAGCTCCCCACCACATTGCTTAACGTCCTGACTTGAGTCTAGATGATGATGCAGTTTATCCTTAGCTTCTATCCCTGATAAAACGAGGAGACTGTCTTATCATAGGGGTGGAGACCAAAATGCCCAGGCGAAAGCCCGGTTTAAATGGGTTTAAAGCCCATTTAAATACCCTTGGGGCCTTGAAAATGAAATGAATTCTATATGCAAAAGGTGGTCTAAAGTAAGCTCTTAAACTTTCTACTTCCTCCTTCTAAAAGCAGGAGAGGGAGCTGTCACAACCACTGAGGAAATGACTCAGACAAATGTTGGTAGCCCTATGGGGTAGATAGAACTCAGCCAGTAAATGGAGTGACTTCTTCGCCTTTTCCTTTACAGTTACCCCATTAAAGTTTCTCTTTTCCTACCCCCTGCTTACACTGCTATTAAAGAACTAACTAATGGCTGAGCGCGGTGACTCACACCTCTAATCTCAGCACTTTGGGAGGCTGAGGCAGGCGGATTACCTGAGGTCAGGAGTTCGAGACCAACCTGACCAAAAAAATAAAACCCCATCTCTACTAAAAATACAAAAATTAGCCGGGCGTGGTGGCTAACGCCTGTAATCCCAGCTACTCGGGAGGCTGAGGCAGGAGAATTGCTTGAACCTGGGGGGCACGGAAGTTGCAGTGAGCCGAGATCGCGCCATTGCACTCCAGCCTGGGCAACAACAGCGGAACTCCGTCTAAACAAAAAAAAAAAAGAAAAGAAAAATAATCTAACTTCTGAACGTCAAATAAATCAAGGACCTAGCCTTGGCCAGCAAGTAGCTTGAGCTTACACATATACTATTCCTCAAACATAAACAGCTGCCAAGGTGACTTCCTTCTATGACAACATGTATCTTCCTGTGATGCAGGTCAGGTTTAGTACTGCCCATCAGCGTTACCCTCCCTTACCATGGCTAATCAAATTCATTTCCTTTCTTTTTTTTCTTTCCTTCTTTCTTTCTTCCTTCCTATTTTCTTCCTTACCCCTCTTTCCTCCTTCCTCCCTCCCTCTCTTTCATTTATTTATTTGTTTACTGACTTATTTTTTGAGACAAAATCTTGCTCTTGTCACCAGGCTGGAGTGCAATGGCACGATCTCGGCTCACTGCAACCTCTGCCTCCCAGGATCAAGCGATTCTCCTGCCTTAGCCTCCCGAGTAGCTGGGATTACAGGTGCCCACCACCACACCCAGCTAATTTTTGTATTTTTAGTACAGACGGGGTTTCACCATGTTGGCCAGGCTGGTCTCGAACTCCTGACCCTCGTGATCCACCTGCCTCGGCCTCCCAAAGTGTTGGGATTACAGGCGTGAGTCACCACACCCAGCCCCCTCCCTCTCTTTCTTTCCTCTTCTATGAAGCACTTATTTAGCTATATTTAGGGCAAAGAGCTTTATTCAAAAGTGAGTAATTTGTGATTCCTGCCTTCAATTCCCTTATAATCTAGAAGAGAAGATCTAGATATAAGTGAGTTTCAGTTATTTATATATTTCTTAAGTCCTTATCAATTCATCGTCTTGAAAGAATTAATGACTTGAGAAAATACACAGAAGGAACAGTCGTTGAGGGCTGACACTGCAGAATTTCCCACTACATTTTTCAGTGTGATTGATGGCATGCTCCCAGAACTTGATCATGTGTAAGAAATTCAGGTCAGGCCAGTAGAGAGAACAGCGTCTTTGTGGTTGTGTCATTGTTTGTAGTAATTCTCTCCTCTGTGAAGCTAGTCCCTTACTCTTTGAATCACCTGCCCTAAAATTGACAGCATCTGTTCCCACCAGTTGCTCCTTTTAAATCTCCCCTGCCAGCCTCCTCCAGATTGGTTGCCCAGTGCCCTGAATCCTGCTATTATTATCATCATCACCAGGCACCCCCTCATCTTTGAAACATCCTTCTGCCCTCCCTCTCTCTCTCTTTTTCTTTCTTTTTCTTTTTAAGAGGTGAGGCTCAAGCAATCATCTGGCTTCAGCCTCTCCAGAGTAGCTGGGACTACAGGCAGGCGCCATCATGCACAGCTAATTTTTTTAAAAAATATTTTTAGAGAAAGGGATCTTGCTATGTTGCCCAGGCTGGTCTGGAACTCCTGGGCTCAATTGATCCTGCTTCCTTGGCCTCCTGAGCAGCTGGGATCACAAGCAGGAGCCACCGTGCCCGGCTCCTCCAGTTCTCTCTTGACGAAGGTGTCTTCCCGTCTGCCGTCCAATGTGTTTGGACCGTCTGCATCCTTAAAGCAAACAGACCTTCACTTGTACTTGCCAGATGGAAAAGTTGAATAGTAATGCGGACTCTTCCCAGGTATTTCTGCACATCTTCCAAGGTTCCTAATGCTGTCTGAACACGGCAGTTTCCCTCCAGGTCCTCTGAAGTGGTACAATCTGAAGGACATCATGTATCTCCCTCAACAAGGACCGCTGAGCTCCAATATTCCATGAGCTCAAGAGCTGGCAAAGGGCAGTTGAGCCCAGCCCCATTGTTTCTGGGTTCTTTTCTGCTGAGCTATTTGTTCCAAGTTCCATTCTGCTACCTAGGCTGGAAATTCCACTCATGCTCAGCTCAAAGGAATGCAGCTCATGCTGGCCAAAGTGCTCACCAGGAAATGGGTGGCTAGAATTCTTCTTTTCATTCCTGGCTTCCTCTCTAACATCTGTAAGGCCCACTATGTCACTGCCTGAACTGTTCCTCCTTTCAGCTGGGGAGCAACTACTTACAAGTCATCTCTTCTGGGACTCTCTTCTTATTCTCTACAGGCAGCTTGATTCCCTAAACTTCAGAGGCCCAGAGTCTTCATTTGGTATGATAGTTGATGCCTTCCTGGTAGTTGCATGATTGGATTTTTATTTAACCACTCTCATTCACTTACTTATATAAAACATGTATTTAATGAGCATCTACTATATGCCAGGCCCTATGTTAGGAGTTAAATGAGAGATAAGCCCTACCTTCACAAAGCTTATTGTACGCCAAGCTGGTAACTAGAAGGAGATACACAGGTACACCTACAATAGCACATTGAAAAC